CAAATCGGTACGTTTTCTTGATATCCTTTTATGTTCAGAGGGAGACTTCTTCATCTGTTCAGAGGAGACTTCTTCATATGTTATATTCTAACATTCATCACTTTTGTTTTGTTGCATAGCTCTTTTTGTAACACCTCTTTTGGTTATCGTTGGTTGGGCTATTGGACAGCCATTGACTTTGGATTTTGAAACATTTGAAACTGCAATGTTGTTTGTTTCTATCTTTGTTGTTAATGCTTTGATTCAGGATGGAAAGAGTCATTGGTTGGAGGGGTGGATGTTGTTGGGTGAGTTTTACTTTCTTTATTTGCAATTTTATTTATTGATGAAGACGTTTCTGACTTTTCTTTCTTTTCTATTAGCTTCCTACACTATCCTTGGTATTGCATTCTACTTTGCATAAGTCAAAGTTAATTAGAAGGGGCTTTTTTTATCGCCCTTTGTCGTCTGTTGATTAGAACTGCTACAATTTTTATCTATTAAATTTAGTTTTTTTATGACTTCTCCCTTTTGTTAGCGCTTTTCATTGTTATCATTCCGTACATTCTCATCTTTTCCGGTTATTCTTGGTTATGGCTTTGGTTATAGCTCGCTGTTATTTGTTCATTGTAGCTGGTTGGTTGGTTTGTTGGTTAAGTAGTTACTATTTTGTGTTGTGTGTATCCTCGTTTAATATATATGTAATTCCTGCCAAAATACTCAGCAGTTTCATCAAATGTGTTGCACTTTCCTTTTCATATCTCTGTCCTTTTCTTTTGGGTTGTGGATTCTTCTGTTTTTCCTTGTAATCGAGTTGGGGAAACGACAAGTTGTCGTGGAAGTTAGAATAAACTGGTGAACTAATGTCGATGGCCTGTCGGAAGGGGGAAATGGTTTTTGTGTTTGTCATTAAATGTAATTGGGGAAGATCAAGGAGAGGGCAGCCAAAAGTCCAGTTAAATCAACAGTACATTACGTGATCTTAAATCGCGACGTGGCATAGATAGATTATTACGAATTGAATCGATGTTGTTTATTACATTTATGGAAATCTTGTAAGATATGAGAAAATCTTGGAAGGGAAAAAACAGAAACTGTGACTTTCGCCACTTCTTTTTTTGCAACACAAATACTTATGTAGACGCGTCATACTCGGATTCAATTTCTCTTTCAACTCATCATATCATGACTGTTACGCATACACCCTTCAGTAAAACAA